AAAAGAATGAATGGCATAAGGGGCCGGGGAGATGAGCTCATAGAATAAGTGCTTGAATGGCAAGCACAAGGGCCTGAGTTCAATCCCCAGTTCAAAAAAAAAAAAAAAAAAAGAATGAATGGCATAAGGGGCCGGGGAGATGGCTCAGTGGAATAAGTGCTTCCCTGGCAAGCACAAGGGCTTGAGTTCAATCTCCAGTTCCACCAAAAAAACAAAACCTACCTTGGGCTGGAGACATAGCTCAGTAGTTTAAAGCACCTGCTTAGACAAGCTTAGGCAAAGTGCAGGGACCACGGTTCGATTCCCAGCACCACATGCCGTGGAAGTCCTGCCCCCAGAGTGGGCTGAGCTGGCCACAAAAAAAAAATCCCCAGTTCCAGGAAGAAAAAAAAAAAGGGGGGGGGTCAGGGAGATGGCTCAGTAGAATAAGCACTTACCTGGCAAGAACAAGGACCTGACTTCAATCCCTGGTTTCGCTAAAAAAAAATATTAGTGGCATAAGTCCTTTTGTGATCTCTTATCTATTTGGGGGAAGGGGTGTACCCAGGGCCTCTCCATGCAACATAACCATTTTTAGTTTATTGTTTATTTACCTGTTTAGCCTTATCTCACCAATCCACCTTTCATTCTGCATGTACCAAATTGTATAGCAACTCATGACAGCATTTTTACATTGTTTTAATACTTTTGTTTGAACAGTTGTCCTTCCAGGCGTGGTGGTGCATGCCTGTAATCCCAATACTTGGGAGATTGAGACAGCAGGATCACTGAGTTTGAGGCCAGTCTGGGCTACATAGTGAGATGCTATCTCTAAAAACAGAAAATTAAAGCCTGACTTTGGTTTTTTTTGGGGGGATGTGCGGAACTGGGGATTGAACTCAGGCCCTCACTTACTCTACTGAGCCATCTCCCTGGCCCCATGACTTTGATTTTTAATCTCTCAAATTTTTTTTTCCTAGGGCTATGGCATTTCGTCTGTGCCCTCTACTTCCAATTCTAAATCCACCAAGGAGAGTAGTAACACTGCCATCATCAAGAGGTTCAACCATCACAGTGCCATGGTCCTGGCAGCAGGTCTCAGGAAACAGTTGAGTATTCCTGTGGCCGTGCCATTGCTGGCTCTTCTGACTCTCTGGACTCCCCGGGTGGAGTTAGGTGGAGATGGTGTGGCCTGCTCAGAGTTTCTAACATGAGTTTTTCCCTTTGTTTTAAGAGAAGCACAAAATGAACCAAATGGGGAACCCAACCGCATGGATGGAAGTTCTGGAGATGGAGACTGTTTTCAACCAGCAGTCAAAAGGGTATGGGCAACAAAATTGGACTATTAGGGCCGGGGGCATGGCTCAGTGGAATAAGCGTTTCCCTAGCAAGCGCAAGGGCCCAAGTTCAATCCCCAGTTCTGCCACACACACACACAAAAAAAAAAAAAAAAAAAAAAAAAATTGGACTGTTAAGGGCTTGGGTTTTCCAGATAAAAAAATATCAAGTGTTTTATGTTGCTTAGTTCAAGTGCTTGGCTGCAAATGTAGAACATTATAAAGCTCCTCAGCTTTGGCTCAACTAAATTTACATGAGCTCAAAACTACTAACTTTTCATTGTTTTTTTCCCCCTGCACATGTATATACACAAAATTTTGGGGGGGAAGCGGCTGGGAACTGGGGATTGAACTCAGGCCCTTGCATTTGCCAGGGAAGTGCCTATTCTACTGAGTCATCTTCCCGGCCCTACAAATTCATTTTTGTAAATGACTTTGTTCTTTGGGAAAAAGTATTCAACAAAGGAGATAAATAAAAAATTTCATGTATGTGTTTTTTTGGGTTTTTTGTTTTGTTTTTGTTTCGAGACAGGGTCTCGCTATGCAGTTCAGGCTGGCCTTGTGCCCACTTTTTTTAACCCCCAAGCTGGTCTTGAACTCACTGAGATCCTCCTGGCTCAACATCCCAATGCTGGGATTATAGGTGTGTACCACTACACCTGGTTCGTATGTGATTTCTTTCTTTCTTT